AGCGGTGGGATGTGTTGACAATCCGTTCAGTCTGTACTTCACACAGCGCAACGTGTGAGGGCTCGCGCTCTTCAGAGACAATCACAGAATATGGCAGAGCTCGTGTTTTAAAGCGAAACACACTGGAATTAATAATTAACTTAAAACGCAATGCGAGTCTCTGTTCTCTCTGCAATCTCTGATGTAATCAGCCTGGTTTCCTTTATATTAGCGCTGTTTTGGACGGATTGTTTGAATGCATTCGCTTACTGGATCATTGGACTGAAAACTTTCCCGGAGTTTATCGGCTTAAAATGATCTAATCGCAAGCAGAGAAGCAAAATTGGGTTAAAGGTTTTGAATAGAAATTGTGCTTCAGTAATTTTGCGTTAATTGCGTTAAATTATTTTAACGTGTTAAGGATTGTAAAATTAATCGCATGCGTTAACGCGTTAACGATGACAGCCCTAATATTTATTTACATTTAGTCATTTAGCAGATGCTTTTATCCAAAGCGACTTACAAATGAGGACAATAGAAGCAATATTTATATATAAACATTGGACAGCACAAGAAATATTGCTGGTGTTATTTTTTGCAGCAAGCAAGAAGCTAAATAAAACATTTCTAATTATTATTATTTTGCCTCAATGTGTTGGGGTCATACAAAAATCAAGTACTGAGTTTGGATAAAGTTTTCTTAAGTTTACTTTTCACTTGTGTTTGTTCTGAAACTCTTGCCTTTGTTACAAAAACGTTTGGGTCAAATCTGAGGTTTGTTGTGAACCGCTAGGGGCAAGAAGATTTTGAGCCGCCTCTACGAGGCTGTCAAATCTCCACAGACAAAAGCTCTGTTGTGTTTCAGAAACTCAAGATGAGTTTGTCATTGAATGTCATTTTTGGTTCAGTGATTTGCTGGTTGGTTGAAAGTGAATTGTTTGTTGGCTAACCACAGGTGGGCCTCTTTGAGAGGCTAATGAATGCTAGATGTACAAACATTTCTACTGTGATCCATTATTTAGATCACAAAAAATCTAAGAGTCCGAGACTTTGTATAAACAGTGCTGTCTTAAGGAAAATATTTCACTTATTCCAATACTGATTTAATTGTGATTTAGTACATCACATTTACTACAAATACTTTTGCAAAGAGCAGATAGTTTGAAAATAAATGTTTTCATTGCAAGAATAGCCTGTGTCATATGTGATATTCTTTTTGGCAGTATTGATATGCACCTTATTTCATTTATTCTTTTTTATTTTGCTCTTGCAGTCAAATACATTGACTAAAATATTCACACCCTTGGAATGTTTTATTTTCTAATAACACTGGACCACAAAGGAATTAATTTGCCCCATCTGTAACAATCAACAGAAAAATATTATTTTGTCAGACAAACTCTTCACAAACTTGCTTTTGTAAGTGTAAATGTATATTGTTTTTTTATATTTGTTCTGTTCAATATAATAACTTTTTTAATATAACAGCAGGTCTTTAATTTCTTATTTATGAATAGATAAATAAAACACTTTAGTCAGCATAAAATGTGGAAAATATACTAGTTATTGTATTGAAGTACAACAAAGCAACAAAGTACAAAGCAAAACAAAACATCATAAAATCCTACACTTTTGATAAGCACTGTATGTCCACAGCCTAACCATGGTGGTTGTTCTGAAAAGTGTTCATGTGGAATATCATACGAAATCACTGCGTTTCTCCCCATAGAGCAACTAATTGCTTATTTACAGACAATTTGAACTGGACTGTCCTTCATTTAACAGTAAACATGAATCATTCAAATAAACCCTGCTGCAGTGTGCTATGAGTATTGGGATCCTCAGTGCTGAATAGCCACAGGCTAGCTGAGCTGCAGTGGATACATCGAGAGCTTGAGAGAAGTGGAGCTGGAATGATTTCCAATAGCGAACCTCATTGACACACTGCAGGCCTGCGGGCAGCCATTTTAACCTGTCAATATCAGCACTTGAGAAAAAGGTTGCATGGACAATGACTGCTGCCTTTTCTGTAATGAGATTTTGTTCAAACGTTTAACTTATATTGTTACGTCAGGTCACATATATGGGATACACTAGGAATCGATCTGGAGAGATGAATCATATTAGTCTAACTCTCATGTTGTGTTCCGGTCATTTTGACCTGCAGAGGATTTTCTTTGCCAAAATGATCTACAAATAAAGCTTTTTTCACTCAAAAACTGAGGTGCATATGTTCAAATCAATGAGACCTCACAATCACTTTCAAAAATAAATAACAAAACTTGAGCTCATTGAATGAAAACAAGTTGACAAAAAGATTGAATCCAAGATTTGCTGATAATATAGCATAATGAGAGATTTACAAGCAATTTTTAAAAAGTCAAATTAGGTAAAGGATTTTAAGCACAGCGCAAGGGCTAAATTAGTTTGGAAAAATTCCCTAATTTAGATCCTAAAGTTGTATCTCATCAGGTGAAGCATGACGCTAGACACACAGAAGTCCTGAGTTTCATTCCCAAGGAACACACTTGCTGATAAAACATTTATACCTTAAATGCACTTTGGATAAAAGCATCTGTCAAATGTTAACAAAAACTTTTTTTTACTTTAAAAGATGTTTTAGTACATAATACATAGGTTGATTATATTTATAGTAAATGAGAGTAAATCTATTTCCAACATGTGCATTGGCCTAATTTCTAAAAAGAAATCAAAATTCCTGTGATAGAGCACACACATCCAAAATCAACAGTTTCACTTATATTTCATGCTTTTTGAGCTTGAATGACAATTAAATTCAGCTGTACAAACAAATGACTTTAATAAGTACATTTACAAATATATTTAAACTGTGATGGTATTCTTAAAGATTTGTGTTTCTAAAGTTGAATATACTAAACACAAGAAATGTTTATGTTTTAGATGCTACGTGCTACATACAAAAATGTAAGTATACACTTTAGGTATGAACAGCTATGAAAACGAATGAGATCACCCTTGCTCTGCACATCAAAAGCTCTTAGGATATTAGATATTACTGAAAAGAATAATAATAATAATAATAAACTTTTCAGTAACCAATATGAGGCATCACAAGGATCAGCTCCAGTAATATTGGGCTACAGGCCTAGTTTCTCACTCCAAATAGCTATCAGTCAGAGACATGAATAATGAATGGGATTTCTGCTGTCCTGATACTCTCACACAATAGTGACTTTCACCAGATTTCATACGAAATGAAAAAGTCCACTCTCCTTTGGCAGGTATATCCACTGCTCTCATGGGTTTAGGACTGAGCTCTACCAAAGCTCATTTCACCAAGTTGGTTTTAAGCATAAAATTTGCATTTCACTGTAGAGGTAGAGGTGATTGAGAATAGCAGTGTGGTAGGGCTGGACAACATCACCTTGCTATGAATACTAAATCAGTATCTTCCAATAATTTGTGATTAATCTCCTTTTTGTTGTCGTTGATTAAACTCAAAGTGAAACCTAGACACAGACAAACAGAAGTGCTAATAAACAATATGTGCTAAAGTCTGGGTTGTTGTGGTTCTTCTGGGTTTCCGAGTTTGAACTGAGTTTCGTAAAGTCAGAACTTTTATCCTGTATACATTTTATTAGTTCATTCATTCCATGGGAATCAAACCTTACACACGATTTTGTTGTTACAACAGTTTGAACTAAAGTTCTGAGTAGCAGCACACTGTCGTCTAGGCCAGACACCAGAAATATCCAAAATAATGATGTCAAACTGTGGTAATCCATGGTAGTTTTTAAGCATGGCTGTGCAACCCCTTAAATGAGGATTGAAAATTTTTTTCTGCACTGTCTGAAATAACACCGACAAATCCTTCAAGGAAGCCAAAACATGAATACATTTATTGCACATCCAGGAAACCAACGCAACCTTATCACTTCTAAAATATTCATATCCCTGGTCATTTATATTTCAGAGAATGTCCTCATACATTATGGAGTGGAGCACTGGATGCCCTTACCTGATGGGGGCAGTCTCATCGCCTTTGTCCAGCCAATCCTGTGGTGGGATGATGTACATGCACCAGAGGCCCCAGTTGTAGCCATGAGCTGCATTAGCGTATTGCTGCACCTCAAAGGTGTTGTACTTGATATTATCTATCGCAGGGAGGATTATCCTAGTGTGATCTTCTTTCACTCTTGTGAGGATAGGCTCAGCCCTGAATAAATGATAGAGATCAGAAAGAAAAAAGAAGAAGAAGAAGAGAGAGAGATTGGGAGTTGAGACATATTGAGCCTTTCTTACTTTCTATACAAATAGTGGTTATTATATTCCTGTTACAAAGAGCAACAGAGGTAAAAACAAGTGTTAGGATGTCAATGTGAAATGTTCTTACAATATCTTAGTAAAATGTTCTCCAAAACACCTATACCAGAGGCTGAAAGCAGGACTGATGGGGGAACAACAAACTGTAATTCTAAGACCGGGAAACATTTTTGTACAAAAACACTTGTATGCATCTTCTCAGATTGAATCGTAATACCAAACTAAACCAAATATTTAATGTGATATCAATTCCAATTTGTTTCTTTTTGTTTTGATGAATAATTAAAGTTGTTGACAAGGTGTTACACTCGCATGTTTCACTGTGCCTTTTTGAATTTGTGAAAAGTAATATAATTTGTACATTACACAGTCCAAATACTTAATTGTAATGCACAAATGTCTCAAGCAAACTGACATTGTCAATAACCAAAACAAATTAAAATTGAATTACTTTCTCATTCAATTCATTCATCTAGTATACAGCTTCTGTGTTTACTTTAAAATCCATGTGGCTGTTTCCAAGAATAATCTTGGGTAGAAAATTGATTCTGTCATTTTTGGAAACGAGCTTGTATTCCATTATCAAAACCGGTGTTGGTTTAAAAGGAGAACAATCAAGCCTGACAGCGTAATCATCACATATTGACATTTGCAGCAGAAGCAAACACAAGACTAACAAGAAAACCTACAAAAACTTTTAATCAGTCCCTCCCATCAATGTCCTTTTTTTCATCACCTTACAAACCATTTTTGTCTAGCATCGTTCTTTGACTTAATTAATACTTAATAATTTTCTCCTATTAAATTCGGATAAGACAGAGATATTACTTATTGGACCAAAAGACAGTACACCGAATCTCGTGGATTACAGTTTGCAACTAGACGGATGTACGGTTACTTCCTCTACAGTCAAAAATCTGGGTGTTATATTAGATAGCAACTTGTCTTTTGAAAATCATATTTCCCATGTTACAAAAACAGCATTCTTCCATCTTAGAAACATTGCCAAGTTACGAAACATGATACCTGTTTCTGATGCAGAAAAGCTAGTTCATGCATTCATGACCTCTAGACTGGACTATTGTAATGCACTGCTAGGTGGTTGTCCTGCATCTTCAATAAACAAGCTACAGGTAGTCCAAAATGCAGCGGCTAGAGTCCTTACCAGGTCAAGAAAATATGATCATATTACCCCAATTTTACAGTCTCTGCACTGGCTACCTATTAAATTCCGTATCAGTTACAAAATATTATTACTTGCCTATAAGGCCCTTAATGGGTTAGCTCCTGCGTACCTAACTAGTCTTCTACCACGCGACAATCCATCACGCTCCCTAAGGTCACAAAACTCTGGACTTTTGGTAGTACCTAGGA